GAGAGATGTCAACGGCGCTGTCATCGTTATGCCCGGAGGGACTCCAAATAAAAATTACAATCAGGAAAAAAAAACAATGAACGATACAAAAGGGCGAGAGCCAAAAACAACTTCCCAGGCTAATCAGCGTATAGGTCGTCGAGTTAATGTGATTATGCAGATTGCGGCGAGTTATCGTGCTCTTTCTTTTTTGTTTTGTTTCCAGCGACAGTGTCGTCGCCGTCTTGGTCGTCCTCTTGGCCCACGGTGCTCGAAACGGTACGCGGGGGTCCTGGCTAGGCCAGGGCCGGGCCCGGGCTTGGGACCCCCGACGGGGCGGGGCGGGGCGGGGCTGGTTCGTAATAAATGGCAGCAATTTGCAAGCCGCGGGACAGACGGTAGGAGCGTCACGGAACAGCGAATAGGGCTGGCGCGCTTGGGCCCTCCCCCGCCACGCCCCGCCGTGTTGGGCTCAACAAACACAGCCTACTGCCAATGCTTTTGCGGGCAAGGCGCCCAAACTGCTGGAGAGAGAGAGAGAGAGAGAGAGAGAGAGAGAGAGAGAGAGAGAGAGAGAGACGACCAGGCGCACCGCAAAGAGATGTTTTCGACTCCACATCAATCGCGCGGACCACCTCGCAGAGACGCATATAAAGTGCGCGGTGGAGTCAACTAGCGGGAGGGAGAGAGAGAATAGCGAAGAAAAAAGCGGATGCTGAAAGCTAACTGTAGCATCAGCACCGTGAATCAGCTGCAGTCCTTCAGAACGTATTGAGGTTCGCTCGCACACTGCGGTAAAGATGGGCTTAAAAGTGCATCTTTTTATGGACAACAAAAATAGTCACATTTAGTATAATTTGTTAGAGTGTAATGAAATGCCCTATTTTCCAAGCCGGATTCGAACGTTGGCGCGGAGCAATGTCGATATACAAACAGTTTGCGAGTGTATCAGCGTCAGCTGCGCAATGATGATGCGCTTTTGCCTCGGCTTTTGCTGCCCCATCGGAATCGTCGGGACTGGCCACGCGGGGCGTGGCGGGGCGTGGCGGGGCGTGGCGGGGCGGGTCAGTTCGGACGGGCCAGCGCCGCGCGCAGCGCACGGCACCCGCGGAAGGAGAAAGTCCGCACGGCACGCTACGGTACGGCACGGAGTCATGCCGGCCTGCTGCCCTTGGCCCTGCCGATGGCCGGATGACCAGCAGTGGGCCGCCCGGCCGAGGCAGGCCAACTACTTGCGCCGGCGGGCTGCTGCTGCTGCTGCTGCTGCTGCTCCTGCTGCTGCTGCTGCTGCCGCTGCCGCTGCAGGGACCCCCCGCTGCTCCACGTGACTGACCCGATGAATGGGAGTGAATGGCGCAGCTGCTTGCTTATTGGTGATGGGCCGAGGAAGGGCGAGGGGTCCCGCTGACTTGCACCGGGATGCCTTTAGTGTGTGAATGTGTCGCACACTTGTAGGTGGTGCGTGAATTCCTTTCACGTAAAAAAAAATGTATACTACCTGTATGGCTTAACCAAGGGCAAAATGAGGGATAGCTAATTATTTAGCTATGAAACTAATTTTAGTTACGTATTGCAACTCAGCTTTTTATTTGGTAGCTACACAGCTAAGTACTTATTTCTCCCTCGCTTTGCTATTGCCTAGCTATAATAGCTAATTTTTGTCTCTGAATTTTTTGCAGGCACATTGCGCCAAGTACCTAAAAGCGTGTGAATGTTTCTTGGAATTCGCCGTATGGCTACAGCGTGCGACTCTGCTGGCACTGCCGCCTGCCGGGCAAGGGGCGAACAGTCCCGTCGAGCGCGCATGTGCGCCGGGTTGCCTACCGCACGTTCGGCGGGCGCTCTGCCTGGCGGCGCCAGAGCCACTAATATACCAAGCACAAAAAAACAGTAAAATATAAAAGTTGGGTGAAAAAAAAAACAACCCGTCGTGATTAAATTTTTCGGAGAAGAAAGCATTTATACTAAAGAGTGTGACAGCCGAGCCAAACGCGGCCGAACTGAATACGTCTCCGGCGCGTTTTACATGCCGCTTAATGACGCCCGGGCTCTCTGCCCTGCTTCAATTTTTTTTTTCTTTGCCCCCCTGCTCCCTTTAAAACTTGCTGGCTGCAGGCGATTAGTAATCACCTTGCCAGACACCGCTGCTTTACACGTGTCCAACTTGACACCTGTTTTTTTATTATTTCTTTTTTTTTGTTTTACAGAGAAGGTGCATCAGGCAGCAGCAGCGGCGCAGGGAGGGGCCAACCTAACACGCCACCGCCGCCGCACCGACTTGCAGCAGCGACAACGAGCGGGGCGTCGGGGCGTCCCCCCAAGCGGAGACAGATGAGGAAAGGGCAAGGGCAAGGCGTGGCGGGGCGTGGCGGGGCGTGGCGGGGCGTGGCGGGCCTGGGCGTTGGAGATGCTATTATTCGGGCATCAAGCCCTGATGGCCCGTTATACCTTAGCAGGTGTCGCCTTCTCAAACGGGGGCATTTCCGTCATACGGTCCATCCCTCAGTCGCTCTCCCTCCTCCTGGGTGAATAGTCCTCTTAGACTAAATCTGCTCCCGGGATTTATTTCCGGGCTCCCTGACTTCTACCCAAGAAACGTTTCGAAGGAAAGTTAAAAAAGAAAATTGTTGTCGCGTACACATTTTTGTGATAATGTGTGTGTCCCATTTCCACTTTTCAGCTAACGTCCAGAGCCCAGAAAAATGCCCCGGGGAATGACAAACCTCTGGAAGCAAGCAGGCAATCAAAAAACTATGTGTGCGTGTGTGGTAAACTACTGGACAGCGCTTGGGTGCAACGCCTTGCCCATACGGATTAAGCCCCTCTGGAATCGTTACTCACTGTCGAAGAAACACACACAAACATACGGGGGACCACGCACGGACGCGCGCAGGCTCACCCACACACACACAAGCACACACACACACACACACACATACACACAGTCACGACAGTCACACGATAAATCCCAAACTTCCACCACCGTACAGCCGCGATTGACTTATTACAGAATCTAAACGCTCCGCCTCGCGCCCATCCATGGGGGCGTGTAATTTCCTTAGCAGTAAATAATTCTCTCTCTCTCTCTCTCGCCCGTGAGACGTCGTCCCCATGCCATCGGAATGCGTTCACTGGAGACATCAACGCGTCCCCCTGCCCCACCAGCAGGCAGTCATTCAGGGGGGGGGGGGAGAGAGAGAGAGAGAGAGAGAGAGAGAGAGCGAGCGATATGCGCGAGGGGTCGACATTGTAAACTGGGAAGGTTCCAATAAGTCTCAAATGACGAGGTGCAAAATTCCTCATCCCGCGGTTCCCTTAGCTTTTCGCCCCTCCGCGCGCACATTTTCTCTTCCCTTATTTCGACTGCTTTTCGTTACAAAATAACAGTTGTCAATTTATTGCCAAAGCACTTGCAGGGAGTTACGAGTCATAAACCCCGCGCGCAGGAGGACGCGCCAGGGAGGACTCATCGCGTCATAAACCCCTTCCCTCCTGCCGAAGCTGCCGCGGGATTATTATTACGACGACGGTCCGCCCCGCAACACAGTGTTTCCGTCGCACCACCGCAGCAGCAGCAGCAGCAGCATGCGGCGCCACCACCCCTCATCCTGCAGGACTTTTCGTCATTCGGCTGTGCGGCGTGTTTTGTGTTTGCCGAGAATGTATGTCATCAGCGTTGGCAGGCCGGGCAGGCCGGACAGTCAGCGGCAGGCAAGCCAGCATAGCTTCCCTGCTGCTGCAGCCTGCCAGCAGCCTCCTGTCCCCCACCTCCCTCCTTCCGCGAGAGCAGCAGCAGCAGCAGCAGCAGCAGCAGCAGCAGCAGCAGCAGCAGCAGCAAAAGCTCTGTGCAATGCTTTTATCACGTGTTATTTCTCACGCGAAGGAATGTGCGCATGTCCATTACCGCCGCGCGCGGCGCTGTATGGCTCCAGTAAGGTGTTGATGATGGCTTTCTCGAGGGGGAGGCGGACGGCGGCGGCCGCGCGGCTGTGCGTCACAGTGGCGCGCGGTAGGCGCCCTCCTCCTAATGTTTTGTGAAAGTGTGTCTCGTCGCACAGTTCAATCAATAATTGTGGCAAAGTTATTCAAATGGTCTAGAGTGTACAGGTTGTTTTGTTTTTTTTGCAACTCGGGGCAGGGTATGGATTGATGGGTATTCACCCAGAAAATCGTTTCTTTGAAACAAAGAAAACTGGCCCATATTTCTTTGATATAGACGTAAAGAAATATTTTCTTTAAATCAAAGAGCCTCTTTT